GCATATTGATTCCCACTGTTTCAGGTCCTCGAGTAGTTTGTCTCTGATTGAGTTTGCCTTTGACTCAGGCACGTTGGAGCATATTATCTTCATCGAATTATGCGTCTTCCTAGTATTCATACTTTTGGCGGCGCGATAGGCGGTCTTTTTCATGGGCGCATTGGTGTTTGTGTCTCTTCTGACAGTCTTTGGAGTGCTTGCAGACATGCCCGCTAGCTTCGTATTTGGTCTACATGCAGCAACAATAAATGCAAATGTTGTCGGACTTTCGATATTGTTAGGTAAACCAGGGTGCAATGGAGTATCATGTGACACAGACATACCACCCGGAAGGACCGATCTTTGCAACGTTGGAGCCGCCGGGGTTGTCAGTCCTTCGTTTCCCGCCTGTTTGCCAGTTGTTATGTTTGGATTGCTTGATTTACGCTGTTAACTATACACTGGTTTTGGCTGTTCTATTCCAAGTTCGAGCATACGTTTAGGCGACGGAAGTTGAGTGCGGCTGCAGCTGGTTCCGATACGACCGCTATATCAGCCGTTACACGCTGCACAATCATTATTACTTTGTCACACCTCTATGCCAGCACGGCGACGCACCTCACGAGTGGGTTGGGCATACATTCAGTAAAATTCCAAATGGAGTCTGATGTGCAATGTCGTTTTTTATTTTCGCTACACCCATGTTTACGCGTCGGGGATGAAATTTCTTCCCTCAATTACTATAAGTTATTCCAATGCGATTGATCATGGAGCACGATTTCGGAGCACAAATAACTTTTGTTTGCGGCTGCCTGGACCTGGTACAAATCGTTTCCCTTGTTGCTGTGTTACGAACCATTGCCGAGGCATCAGTTCTGTCGGTAAGTTGCGACCTCCGAGCGTGTTCGAACAAGCACACTATGTAGATTGGCAATGGGTGTGACCATAGTTGTAAACAAAGCCGACGGAGGTAAATGCGCGTGAGGTGGGCGCTGTGCTATCAATCAGCCTAGGTTAGACGTGGTGGAAGGTTTCGTTTTGACGGGTGTGGTAGAATTTACGCTAGTTTGGCGAGTGTTAAGATGTTGGCTGCTAAACAAGCTGAAGCTGTCAAGCAGAGTGAGGGATTCTTGTTGCAAAGGAATCGTTGGATAACACTAAGAGCGTTCTGTCGAATGATGGTACATGTGATGGGATTCACACGAAAATAAGGTTAAGGCACGCCTGGAGTTCGGTGAAAATCCTGCTGAAACCACAATAATGGATGCAACGATTGTGTGTGCTATGTAGTACTACATTGATAGATAGCACTGGTAAATCCGAGTGGGATAAGTGTATAAGCACAGTAATGTGCGACAAGAATTGCTAGTGCTAGGTCCAAACGCAGACGAGCGTCGTTCAGTACGACCACACGGCGTGACCTTGAAGAAATGATAAGGGAACCCGCGGGCTGTCACGTTTGTGACAACCCGGGATTAGACCTACTTGGTATTGACTGGATAACCGCGTTGGATTTGTGTAATGTTCCTCTTGACTCTGTGTGCGATCAAATCGAGGGAAGTCTATCCGGTCCGGATATGTCATCATAGTGCTACGCAGCGCAGAATTCCACAATCGCTGACAATATGGAGAAGCAATTCCCAGCAGTGTCCAACTCCACACTAGGCTGTTGCACCAACTTCACGGTATCTCTGTATTTAAAGATGACACAAAGCCTGTTTTTCGACTTAACGGACCGGTGTCGTATGCTCCTCTTAAATTCGTTGACAATGAATTGGATCGCTTGGAGTAATCAGGGGTGGTTTCTAAAGTGATATACTCAGACTGGGCAACGCCTATAGTGATAGTGAAAAAGACAACTGAATCATTCGCCGATGTAGAGATTACTCAACCGGTCTGAAGACAGCACTGAACCTCCATCAATATCCACTGCCACTACCGGAGGATCTTTTCGCTAAACACAACGGCAATCGCATTTTCTCAAATATTGATCTCTCGGATGCCTATCTTCAAGTGATACTCGCTGATGACGCACGACGCCTGCTTACATTTATCACCCTGGTCTGTATCAGTACAGTCGGCTACTGTTCGGAGTGAACGCTGCTCCGGGACTCTTACAACTACTGATGGATGCTACGGTAGCAGACATACCACAGGCTTGTGCATACTTAGGTGATATGATTATCGCATCAACAGACAGAACCCAGCGTCGCTGCCACCTCTTGCAGGTATTCGAACTCCCACAGGAATATGGTTTGACTCTGAGAGCTGATAAATGTTATTTGTTTATGCCTCAGCTGAAATACTTTGGGTTTTTTGTCGATCGTGACAGGCGAAGACCTGCTATTGAAAAATTGCGCCTCATAGAGCATTTTCCTGCACCACACGGTATACCTACACTGCTATCGTTCCTGGGTATGGTAAGTCATTACAGTGCATTTGTTATTTATATCCATCGACTTCGCGGGCCAATGAATGAGTAGCTAGGTTAAACATCGACCCTTGTCTTGATCATCACAGTCTGAGAAAGCTTTTAGGCTCATTAAGAAAACTCTTGTGTCTGACTTAATGCCGACACATTATGACCCAAAGGCAGAAAAGGTTGTCTCCGCTGATGCCTTTAGATATGGTATTGGAGCAGTTCTCCGTCGGCAGTTTTACTCTAGCACCATGAGATCAGTTGCCTACTCATCACGTGCCTTAATGAAGTCTGAAAGAAACTGCTCACAGATCGAGAAAGGGGCACTAGGTTTAACTTTTGCTGTCTCAAAGTTTCATCGAATGTTGCAGGGTAGATACTTCGTACTAGAGACTGACCGTAAACCATTATTAGCGATTTTCGGTTCAGGGAAGGGTATACCTGTGTACACAGCGAATCGCCTTCGACGCTTGGTGACACTGTTACTCGGATATAAGTTTACAACAGATCATGTGCCTGCGGCATATTCCAGCTACGCCGATTTGCTGTCCCGACTTATCGCAAAACAGCTGAGCATAGAAGAAGACCAGGTGATTGCGTCAGTTGCGTTTGAATCGGACCTGATACAGCTTCTGTGTAATTCAATCAAAGCTCTTCCGATTACTCCTATGGACATTCAGGAGCACACCAAACTCTACCATCTTTAGCAAAGCGTTATTCTGTTTTTAAACACAAAGTGGCCATACCGGATTACTGACACATCTTCAACAACTTTGTCGACGTAACTCGTTAGCGCTGGTTGATGCTTGTGTTATCTTCGGTTAGCGCGTGGTTGTTCCGAAATCCATGCAGGCAAGGGTATTAAGATATTAGCACCTACATCACCCTGGAATATCACGGATAACACCTTTAGCCAGAAGTTTAGTATACTGTCCTTGTATTGACAACCCTGTCCATGATTGTGTGGTCTCATGTAGCAATTGTGCCTCAGCAGCAAAACTTCCGAACAAAATCATCCAACCGTGGATGTTCGTCTCTAAGCCTTGGGAGAGAATTCGCGGTGATTTCGCTGGTCCAGTGCAAGGCCAGTGTTTTTAATTGTGTTTGATGCGTATACCTGATGAACACAACCACGACAGTACGAAAACTACAACAGTTATTTGCATAGTTCGGTTCACCAAACACCTTGGTTTCCGATAACGGTTCGCAATTTATCTCCGACAATTTTGGTGCTTTCTGTCAGCGTAATGGTATCAAGCATAACCGGTCGCGGCCTGAGCATCCCCAGTCCAATGGACAAGCAAATAGATTCGTGGATATCTTCAAACGTTCACTGCTAAAATTGCGGGGGAAGGACCGACAGAGATAATACAGTTGTTCCTACTAACCTATCGGTCTACGTCTAACCCCGCTGCACAGGGCGGCAGATCCCCAGCGGAAGCCGTGTTCAGGCGTGAGATGTGTCTTCCAATCGACACAGTATGTCCTAAGGTTACGCAACGGCCACTCGCGTCAGCTGTGAGCAGAAGTTTTCTACCAAGGGAGCCGGTATACGCGTTGGCTAGAAGGCCGAACCACCCAACCTGCCAATCTGCAGTGGTACGAAAAAGGAAAGGCACTGCTGTATGAGGTGTCTATCGGACCGTTGTTACTTATACGGCACGTTAATCATTTACGCAAACGACGGACCGAACACGCACTTCTACTTTCGAGTTGCCGTTCGATGGACACGTTTACACTACCAAAAACTGTGGAGCTCAGTGAGCCGACGGAAACGCGTACAGAGCCGTGCCACGGGGTCGCTCGATGACTTATGTGGACAACTAAACCGATCCGACATTTACGGGTAGGCCCAGCACTTCAATCGTACTGGTCTGGAGCACGTTTTCAAAAAGATGCCATCCGGTGCCTTAAAAGTATGCTGTCGTCCCACGTCTCTGGCCGTGAACTTCACTCTCACCCGCTGCTCCACTGCGATTCAGGTGCATGAGGCCGCCGACTGCGAGGCGGCCTGTCTGACACACCCTCACCTTGACCTATATTATCGACTGTCTTGTCTGTTTCCTGTGACTTGAGATCTGATCAATACACTGTCCGGTGTGGTGAGTCTTGTTCTGATGACTCTACGCCCCATTAACCGCTATAATAACAAAAATCGAATCTCAATTTTGATAGGACATATGAGTTGTTTGTTGTTGTTTGTATGTTCTCTAATGCTGCATAGCATGTATCAACATTGGTAGGCCTCTTGCGAATATGAATACAGAAAGATTAAGATGCTTTTGGATTATGGGAAAATGGGTTTAACACAAGTATAATGTATGCAAACTTTTCCTTAAGCACATTGTGAAAGCTGCTTTACTCAAGGCTATTCAGTAGTACCAGATATTGATTGTGGCACTCACATGATAACGGAGCAAGATAGGCGTTTTGCTTCTGTTTGCTCCACACCGAGTATCACTCCTTTTTTTATTACCACACTAATAATGCTGGTAATGTCTCTCTTAATGTTGTACTCTGAAATTATTAAACTTATGACGCCAACTTTTGCTCTATCCTTGTTACTCACCCCCCCCCCAACTTTCACGATTTCATCTCTCAGTATTTGGACAGCGTTCACAGTCGTCACCCGAATTTGGCCCGACCTCACATTTCCCTACTCTTAGAACTCTATACTCGGTTCGCCCGCGACAAGCTGCTCCCATTGCTGCGGTCTACAGAATCGTACCCACTGAATGACGCATTGACAATTTGTGAGAGGGCACGTTTAATTCCAGAAACTGTCTATCTACTCACACGCATAGGCAGGCGCCAAGACGCTTTGCGACTAATCATGACGCAGGTAAGCACGATATATTCCCAATGGCACTCAGTGGGATTTAAGTGCATTTCAGTTCCATGTTTTACCGGTCAAATGCACCTTGGCATCCCATGCTCTTTCTTACCAACTGATGCCATATCTTTTGATCTTGTTGGCATTTTGCTGCTTTGCCTTGTTGAGTTACCATCGATTAGTGCAGTTTTACCTCTGATAGTCGGCTTAGTTAATGTACATCTTATCTGCATCCGATTCACTTTCGTGTTGCTTCAGTGTAAGCACTCAAAAAATCCGAGCAATGCGATCATAAAGAACTTGGCTTTCATTCAGAAACCACAACTAGGCTTAATTGGGCAGTTGATTTTGCGAGGGTGTCTTATGCTTGATAGCCGTTTCATCCTCAGGATACCTTCGTCACTGGCCATGCATGCAGTCAGACTAAAGTGTTGACAAGCTGCGTCTCGCATTGACGTCTGGCGAAGGATTCAGTTGCATAATATTCTCGCACAACGTTTTTCATTTGGTCGGTCGGCACTTGGTATATTACGAAGTATGGCACATTTTCAGTGAATCACAAAGATCACTAGTCTGTGGCAAATAGTTTTTTTCGAGAGATAGTTTGCTTCAGACTTGGCGTATTGTATGCGGATATCTTCAGGTATTTGTGTGATGGCCTGGTTAGTTTTGGTTGGAATTTTACATTAATTCACCTGGCGCCCTACTTATCGCATTCGTTTTTATAGTGAACCCCATTAACAGGGCTGCGTGTGTGAACCAGCTCATTCTTCTGATCTTCCCCAGATCATCCGACCAACAGCTGTTTGCTCTACGCGCTACTACAGTTAATTAATCCAAAAACCGGTGCATTGCGCGACCATAACTTGTTTGATGTCAGTAACTGTGTAAGGTGCGCAATGGTGCGTCTACGTCCGCCTGTGGACTCTTGTGACATTCCACTATTCGGTCTTGCTCTCCAAGACACGCCCCTCTTATTGCTAACGTAGTGCGTTTGCCTTGCAGTGAATATCACTGTCTATAATCGTGTCTTTCAGGCGCTACTCCTTTTGCTTGCTGTTACCCTATAGGTGGATTGCTACCCTGATTACTTAAGGGGCATGCGGTGCGTCCCGTTCGCTTCTGTTGATTGTGCATTTTTGTCTCCATTTCAGGGCGAGGATGTGAGCGTCACTCAGCCTGAATTCCGCCAGACTTCCGAGTACGAACAGAAGCAGTCTGCAGCTGCGGCGGCGGCAATTGCTTACTGCTGTGAAGAGGATTCCGTGCGCAATAGACTAGGCCAGTTAGGTCTGACGACGCAGACATCTATCTTTACTTCCTCCTTTGGATTAACCGGCAACGAAGATGAGGATTTGGATTCCCAAGGCGGTGAATTATGGCAGCAGGTCGTTCTGTTTGCAGTGGATAAGCCAGCATTTATTCGAGCGCTGCTACAACATGCCGACTCGGAGGGACTAGACCCAAGATTGTTGTTGCGAAAAATTTCACCCGATATGTGCATACCTGGATTAAAAGGATCTTTGATAACGTTGATGCGCAACTATCGAGTAAGAATATCGGCACCACGTTTTCCCCCCTCCTTTTTTCGACCATTTCTTATCGCATCTTCGGTGCGCGTCTAGTCTCACACTGAACAGTTACTCTCGTTTTGTTGCTAAATCAAGGATCCAGTCCGTACAAACCTCGTTGAATCACACGTTGCGCCGAGTGCTTCCTGTGGCTACAATGGCTGCTTGAAAAGATTTTACTACTTAATCCGATCCGTATCACGTTTTTCTCTCTCCACCCATCGCTCAACATGCCATCTACAATGATCTTTTATTTCATGACATTCTGCTCTCCGCGTATACCTGAGACCCTCGTTATTCAATACCCCACTAAGGCACCTTTTGTGTTTTCCCAACTAGCGTTCATTCCCTGTCTTAATTTCGCTAGCTGGTCAGGTTCACCGCTTCACACCGTGCTTTGACTCATCTGATCTACCAGCGTTGAAGGTTTACCTTTCGTTTCCATGGTCACCGTTGCCGGATTGCATTCATTATTCATCCGTGATGTTGCACCAAGTCCTACTTTTGTGTGATGAGCTGTATCATTTTTCCACACAGCTCCATCTGCACATGTGCGCACAGTAGTGGTCTTTGCGAACTGTATGCCAGTCGATATCACACCTTGTTACACCGTGGGAAAATCTAACAGGCCTACAGGCTTGTACCACGTTACTGTGCACCATTTGTCTTTTCAGATACAGGTTGGTTTCCATCTCTCGCAATTGTTTAAAACGGCGTAGCACATCGTTCGTTTGGGTTAATCGCTTCAAAGGGAATTTTCTGTTGACAGGACTGGAAATCGTTTGTCGCTATCCAAAATATTGCATTTATTCTGGCTATCCGATTGAATTGCTTTATCGTGCTTGTTTAGAATTGTTTTCCTTCTCTTGTACTTTACAGCTGCAGTTGGAACTCCAAAGGAACTGTCAGAGCATTCTTCGTAGTGATTTGCATCGCTTATTCACCCGATTACTACGTTGGAAATCTAAGGGACTGCGTGTCGAATCCAGCGGTTTTTCTTTCTTCGTGTGCACCCTCTGCACACATCCATTGATAAGACCGCAAACACAAAACCCTTCCTCGTGCGATCGGCCCGGCCAAACAGAGATAGCCTCATCTTGCCTTGTGTTTCGTTGCCAACACGTTTGTCATGCATCATGTCTACCAGTCAATAGAGCAGCCTCTTGTCCAATTTGTACAAGCTCTTGAAGCCCCTCTGCATATTCGCTTACTCCCTCCGTGACTATTGATTGGGGACACTTATCTTGACAGAGAATTCCAAACGCTTTCTGCCTGGACCATAAATCGCGCAACGGTGATTGCTTTTTCAATTTACTTCAGAAATACATATGCCTTCTCAGTTTCTTTGATTAACTCCCTATGTGTTCAGAAAAACGGATTACCACTATTGTTGTATTAACAATAAACAGCTTTTGTACCTCGCAATAAGTGGCATCCTTGTATGGCCCATTTGCATGGCAAGTTACTAAGTGGTTGTAATTTACCCTGGTGTTACACTCGCTTGATTTAAAATCTTTGTTACCTTGACAGATCTGCTTTCATTACCTGTTATTTTTACTCGTGGGTTGTTTTTTTTGCACTGGCCTAATATGTGAAAACAACAGTACATGCTTGCATCTTTACGGTGTTTCGCCACAACTCAACAATAAATAAAGGCATCAGCAGTATGCCGTCACGCCGCACCGTCTCTTCGCTGAGGATTTCGCAAGTTCGCCCGCACCTACACGTATTCGAACCGGCGACCTCAGGACTACTACACAGTCTTGCTATTCTTTCGTACACCGGCGGACCAACAATGAGTTCAAGGTGCCTTTTTGTTGATAAGAACGGATACGTTACCATGGATCTACTTGCTTTAGGCAAGCATTCTTATTCTAATTGTCTGCACATGGCCAACAACACAGACACAAGCGATTAGCTGCCGTATGAGAAGAAGGTGACGACGACGAGGCATCTTCATTGTGGCCTTCCCAGTCCACATCAATGTCGCTTTTATCTATGCACACTAAAAATGCTGTCTGACAAGTAGACTGATGCAAATACATTGTTGCTGCTATTGGTAATCCATATTTAGTAACGTCTCGAGTCATCTTGGGTTGCATGGACTCCAACATGGAAGGTGAGAGAATAGAACAGCGTACAATCTATCAATCAGAAGATTCATGTCGTGCCGGCCGAACGATTTCCCATCTCGGGCTTTACGTAATCCTAGACCGGGAGAATAAAACAAGTCTACCCTCTCAATAGTAACTGATCATACTTGACACCTACTGGTGATTAAGTTAACTTATTTGGCTTTTTCTTGTATTCATCCCAACAGCTCACATCCTACATAGTTCAACCACAATCTGAAAAAGCACCAGACGCGTTACGCCCTATTGGGAGCTCGTCAGGGGTACGCATTTTCTCGGTCCCCTACGGGGATTGAACCCACGACTGCTAGATGCCGATGCCAACTAGCCAGCAGCTTGAGCCATGTGGAATGGTGGCTGGACTAGCTAATTTGCAAGCTAACTGCGATATAGCACGGCCATCTTTGCAGATGCTAACATATAGCCTACTCTTACTCATAAGTAATATAAAATTTAGCCTTTCCTAGTTGCATATGCGATGGACATAATGTCTAGTGAGAGCAGGCTAGCCACTATCATCTGCAAATGCAGTAACCTGCGTGGCATTGGAAGAAAAGTAGTGCTATATCCCAATTAGCTTGCAACTTATGTAGCCCAACCACTGTCCTCCATGGCTCAGTAGCTTAAGCTGCGTGCTGGTTGCCGTCAGCCTCTAGCCATCATGGGTTCGATCCCAAGTACGGGACCAAGGGAACGCGCACCACTGACGAACCCCAATAGGGCGAAACGCGTCTGGTGCCGTTCCGGATTACGATTGTGCTATGTAGCTTGTGAGCTGCTAAGACTAATACATTAAAAATACGACTAAAATCGCCCTACTTTGTTGATCCAGTGCACCAACCTGGTCAACACAACCTAGTACACGTCTGCTCATCTCTTTGCTACCGACGGGCTATTGAAAGCTCTCATATTGCTAGTCAAGTCAAGGAATTGCTTTGTGCACCTATGTCGGGGGAATATTCGGCATCAATTCCCAAAATGTCCATATTAATGTAGTTTCACCACTTTTTAGGTGCACCACCTCTAGGACTAAGGTGAATTTCCATCTGGTGCGAGAAACGTCGGTTATTTTTTCTCTTTGCACTGCGTGAGTGGGTTTGCGTCATCGCCAATGCGGTTACCAGGAGAAGTGAATCTACCAGCTTTCTTTAGTTCTTTATCGGTTAATAGTAGCAGAACAGCGGATGACTAAAATTCCGAAGTGGAACACAAACCATGGGATCCTTTGTGGTGTCTGATCGCGTGTAATTGCATTGCTTCGCGACTATCACATGATTAAACGATGCATCCGCATGACTCAGACCAACAAATTTGCTCACCGGCAGGACCTCTGCACTTGTAATTTGCGGCTTCACAAAGGAGCACTGATTGATGCAGCCGATCATAAAATTGAAAAGCAGTGATGTAATTGGACAACCTTGACAAACGCCACATTTTGTCAGAAAGGTATATGATAATTTGCTGTAGACCACAACGCGACCAGTGAAATTCGAGCGTGGGACGCTTGAAGTGTCCAATATATTTGGAGATGTATAGAGCAAACCGGTACAATATATCTCCTCGAACACGCTGGGGAATTCGTGAGAAAGCTGCAAGCGGTGCGCGCGACTCTGGCTAGTGGCTATCGAAGAGCGAAGGTATGATCAAGTAGCCAGTTCTTCAGGGACCAACAGTGAACCGGCACATTGGATGATCCACGCTTCGCTTACAGTAATTGCATACATATGCTTTTTTACGCATTCATGGGAAGAGATCGGCACTGCATGATAAAATAGGTAACCCTTTAATTCGATTCATTCAAAAAGCCACCAAAAGGATTAGCGTGTAGGCAGCCGTCAACAACTCAACGGATCCGTGCAGACAAGCGACAGCTTAGTGTAGTCAATGAGGTCTTCAATGGACATCCGATTGGATTAGTAGTTAAGTTAATTGACCGCTCGCATCAACCGTTTCTGAACTACTTCAATTTAAGCCTCAACACGAGTAGCTAATGCAAACAACAAGTTCGTCAGATAAAATGACCATTGTCCCGTAATCCATCATCAGGCTTGTACAATTACGTGAAGATCAAAGTTTGTATACAGACCCAATGGGTCGTCAATCAACCACTTGCTTCTACTACGCAGTGCAAAGTACTGTCGGTCAGATTCCCGCTGTAGTCACACGATCTCATGAGTCAACTACAATCCGTCCTGGCTGACCAGATGACTACCCTCTCGAGATTGTATGCCTGAGTCAAAGGAGAAGCGTCTTACCACAGGATGAGCGACATGGTTCTACCTGCGATATCACGCATGCAGCCCGACAGCGGTGATCACACTGTAGATTCCCAGATTTCTTTATTAAATTTCCTCTATATTCCTGCAGTCCTACCGAGTATAGTGTTACTTCTATTAATCTATGCTGCATGTACATCTACCCAAACATTTAGGGACTACTGGCCATTTCCTCAAGGGGGCCGCTGACAAGTATGCACACTTACACCAGCGCCAGGCTGCGCATATTAAAATTTTTTACTTCTGTTCCTTTTATATTTGACTTAGCATAAATGAATATCGTATGTTCACGCTAATCTTCCCCTTAGTGATTTCTTAAACAGTATCGCCAGTTTGCTTGCTCAGTGTACACTTTTGAGAGTAACCATATACAGGCCGCCGATCTGACGTTGAGTTACGCGTACACTGAGCCCCAATCAGGGCAAGTTAGGTCGCAATATCTAAGGTGCTGAGACAAAATGCATTGTTAATGGGCTTGCGCATATTTTACTCGTTCAAGGTCCTGTATATCTACGTCAACAGCTTGGTGTAACAAATCCAAGAAGGGAAATGACTTGTCGGAGCCACTGTTCAAACCGGACAGCTAGAGCTAATGTGTATACACTACGAATGTGTGAAATTGTTACCAAATTCACACTGACCAAACACTGACTATCCAATCTCCCCCTGTAAGAGAGGTTTGGGAGTGTGTTGTAGCGCCGTCTTCCGCGCCGCCATCCCAGCCGGGAAAAAGGCAGAAGACCGAGACCTGCTAGACCGAACTGCATTATGGGCAGAGCATGGTTAACTTTATAGGCTGCATACGCTCATCTTCGGCTGTGTGTTGCTGGGCTGATTCACATCACTTATTTAGACATTTAAATCTGGTATCGGCCAGCACTATCTGGCTGTGGTCGCTAGCACATCCACGCCAAAGCATTCCATGCGACGATGATCAAATGGGTGAGTCAGCTGCTCGCGGGATCAGCCGTAAGCCCAAAACTTGCCTCTAAACCGTGTCGCGCCGTTCATCAGTTGTGGCCGCCTACTCGTTTGGAGCACACACAGCAAACAATAACCAAGTGGCTTATCTGCGCATCGCCCAGAGAATTTGATGCCAGTGTGACTACGCCTGTTACTGGCATTTTGACTGTTCAAGCGTGTTTCGTTTTCGTGGTCCAACATTTTTAATTGAAAATCTTTACAACACACGCCTTCAATACATATTCATTTTCATTCACCGACATTCTCACAGCTCGAACGTTGATAATCGTTCATGCCGTCGTGTGTTCTCGTTCCGCGAATCTCCCTCTTTTGACTCACCCATGCGACTGCAGATTTATTGACTAGACTATCCATACTCTTATATTTACCTTGTGTCTGATCGCATCACTAGCTCGGCTGTGTGGCTGATGGGAAGTTAATTGCCTGAAATTTCTTTTTGTTTCGTTTGACACCGGTCGTTTTTGATACAGGATAGTACACTTGTGGTGGATGTTATCGAGGTTAGTTTATATTTGTTGCTATCGTCCTTTCTAACAACAGTGCAATGGTGTATTTCCATCTTTGACTTTTGATTTTACCGGGTACTTTTACTTGTTGCTCGAATCCACTATCGACTTGTCAGTGACAATGCCATTGGGACAGCATTGAACAATTATTTATAACGGGATAAAAGCAAGCGCTTGCCACCTCTCGTAGGCTGTTTGGGGTCAGTACCATGAGTCATCTACCGAGCCTCTACCGAAATAAATGGGTTGCTAAATAATGTTAGTGTAAAACAAAAATCTAGTGTAAGCATACAGAAATACGCGGGATGCAGTGATCGCTGATGTAAAGCATGAGACAAGTAAACTATGGTCGCTCATTTATACGCCTTCTTGGGTCCATGTGAAACAAATTCTACAGAAGGGCATGATTAACATAATGCAACATGGCGTAGTTTAGATAGCGAAGTCCTGGGAGCTAAGAGCGACATCTAATCGTTTTTTTTTTTTGAAGATGTTCAAAGTAGGGGGGATACAGCTGAGTCTGGGAGTGCGTTCCAGGGTTAGCAAACCCGAAGGAAAATGTATTTCCTTAGACACTCCAGACGGCTGTTGTTCCCCCAATTTCAAGCACTTACCCCTGAGCTGCTTGTTATAGCTAAGTTTTAGCAACACTAAAGCAGGTGCATGAGGCATTTGTCACAATCGACACAAACTGAAACTGGGTCAAGTATGGATATTGAGGAGAGAATGAAGGCATTAACAATTGATGAACCACTGAACAAATGGGGCGTATGGAGGGTTGAATATTTAACAGTGTGCCTCATGCTGAGGTTGATGTTGCATACAACATGCTTCTTCACCGCAGTTGGGCTACACCAACTGCCTAAAATAGATCTTCTTGATTGGGATAAAAAGACTTCCACTTTATTTGATTTGCTCAGTTCTGTCCTCCTACTGAATATTCCGTGTTGATTTTGCGTACTTATTTTCCTTCAACTTTGGTGTTTGATATCCCCGGTGTAGCTGCGCTTGATGTGCATGTTCACAAAGTTCCTACTTGTCTAACACCTTCCAACTCAATTACTGACTCCAGGAGACTGTATCGTCGCTGGAGGTGGGCGGGGTTCACAGTCCTCTTGGCCACACTAAGCTCAAAGAGTGTTTCCATTCACTGTGGAGCGGACTACGGCCCAGCCACCGCCTTGTGTACGTTTGGTACGCTTGATTCCTCACCTAGCTACGCAGCAGTGCTGCTGCCATGAACAATAATTTATCACGGGTAAAAAAGCATGTGCTTGACAAGTCCCGTGGGATAGTTGGAGTAAAAATTAACATTTAAAGGATCATCAAATAAGTAAATGATTATTTTAAGCGTCTGTCGATTTAAATGCATTGCTGCATAACGATAGTTTGAAGTGAGAATGGTATGTGCGCATACGAAATAGTATAAAGTACCGTTATAGTTCAGTAAATGCGTGCGAAAGAAACTAGGAAACGACAACGTTCACTCGTGTGTTTCTTCATTTGACAGACGTGGTATGTTAATCCAGTTTAGATACATCCAGGCTACTCACATGGACACTTCTACACATATCCTCACCGCCACGTTGCGGAGAGGGCCGTTAGGCACATGGTTAGGTTTGCGTTATTTCGTCCTCCAAGTGGAATGGACTATATCAAGTAATGCAAGTTGGAAAGCGTTTCATCAATGCGTTTTTTGAAAAGCGTTAATGTAGGGGCAAGGATAACGTGAGTCGGAAGTGCATTTCAGACACGGGACATACGGAAGGAGAAAAGTTGCGTCGACAATCAAGTCGACTGTAGTGCGTAGCCAGTTTGAACTGATAGCCACTCAGACTGCTATTTTCGCTCAGATGCAACAGATTGCCACATGGGTGTTGGGTTCGTCAATATTAAGTAATCCATGATTAGGTCTCCTCGCCGACGTCGATATTCACCACTGCACAATCTCAGGGACTGCTGTTTGCGTTGGTAGGAGAGATGAAACCATTCTCTAACGAGTTTGGTCGCCCTACGTTGTGCAGCTTCAAGTGCATCGACGTCGCACTTGCACCAAGGACGCCAGGCCTGGATCGCATATTCCACGTAAGGCATCACGTAGCGTTCAGCATTTACGGAAAGATTGATAGCTCAAAATTCTTGAAAGCCCTCCGTAAGAGTCCAAGGTGTTGACTGGCTCTTTTTGATGAATTTCCAGCCTGTTTCGTGCAACCAAGCTCGTACTGCACGATCACCACGAGGTCGTTTTCTTGGGAAGCACGTTGTAACTGCTGGTCCCCAAGTCGATATTCATAAATAAGCTGATGGCGTATGCTTACGACTTTGCACTTGGTCACGTTGAACTGGAGCCGGTTATCGGATGACCATGCATAAGCCCTGTCGCGATCGCTCTGCAATTCCATGTGATCATCCGATGTCCTGATATCATGCCAAATTTTGTTAACATCTGCAAATAGTAAAAAATTCGACTGCAGTACACTGGCAAGATCGTTAATAAATGTTAGGAATAAACGTGGCCCCAGTACCGATCCTTGGGGCACGCCACACTGGACGTCAATTGGGTCGGAAATGGAGCTGCAGACTCTCACATTCAGCTGACGTTGAGCGAGGAAGTTGCCGATCCAACCAAGTATAAGGTCACCGGTTCCATAGCTCCGAAGCTTGTGAAGGAGAATGCGGTGGTCCAAACGATCGAACGCTTTCGAGAAGTCCAAGTAGACAAAGTCGCCTTCCACTGTGGCATCGTCTGACTCTGTCCAGCTTGCTCGGGCTAGCAGCAAGTTTGTAGTGCATGATCGGTTACTGCAGAATCCGTGTTGCTGTGACACTAGGATGTTGTTGCTCTCAAGACATTCCATGAGCGCCTCTGCAACTATACATTCCATTACTTTGGATAAAACTGGGAGGAGAGTGATTGGACGGTAGTTAGAGGGCCCTGAACGATTACCACTTTTGGAAATAGGAGTGACTACTCCATGTTTTCACATTGTGGAAACCTGCATTTCGTCGGGATAGCGTTGAAAGAACCGAGCTAATAGTTCGAGAAGGTTCACGGCTGCTGTCTTCCATGCGTTTGTTGATGTCGTCCACGCCAGGTGAGCTGTGCATGCGCAATGACATTAGCGTTTCCATCACATTGGCTGCCCTGCACAATACGTGGTTTAACCCTGGTGGCAATGGAAGCTGTGTCAAAAGCGGATGAAATGATGACTGACTCCGGAAAGTATGGAATAAGTGTCGGCGAAGAACGTTGGCTGCATCTTGTGCGGCTTGCGCAAGACCATCTTTTGCACGTAAAACCGGGATCTCGCACTGTACCCTGCGGAGCTTGTTGACGTGTCTATACAGCAACTTGGGATTTGTACTGAATTTCGCCGCTAAGTTCTGTTGATGCTGGAGTTTGTCTTCGCGGATCAATTTGACGCAGTGCTTTCGTTGAGTTGTATAAGCACCCCAGGTCAGGTTACTTTGGATAGACTTTGTAAGCGCGCCAGGCTGAATCCCTTAAGGCCATGTATTTTCTAGTACGGCTCCAACTTCACCTCATACCCATTTCACCTTTTCTAAAATCAATCATACATTCAAATCACAACATATCCACTTATCCTCCCCAAACTTTCCATCTTTTTCAAACTTCTTCCTTTCCATACCCTTAAACAAACACTCTTAATTTTTTTTCTTCTCATACATTAACCTACCACTTTAACCCAATAATAATCATACACTACACCCACCCCCCCCCCACACCCCCCCAAAAAACCCCATAACCAAACAAAAACAAAACCCCCCACCCCCCCCCCAACCCCATTACACCATAACCAAAAAACAACACACTCAACCACCACACAAAAAACCCACCAAAAACAAAACACAAAAACAAAACCCCAACAAACAACCAAACACCAACACAACCCCCCAACCCAAACACAACCCCAACACAAACCACCCCCACCAAACCCCAAACAAACCCCACACCCCCACACCAAACACAAAACCCCACCAACCAAAACACCCCCCCAACAACCCCACCCCCACCCCCCCAACAAAACACACAAACCACCCCCCACACCCCCAAAAACCCCCCACCAAAAACCCCAACCCCCCAAACCAACACCCAACCCCAACCACCCCCCCCCCCCCCCCCCCCAACCAACCCACAACCCAAAAACCAACCCCAACCACCCCCCCAAAAACCATACCCACACACCCACCACAACACCCAATACAAATACCACCCACCCCAACACAACCAATCACTAGCCAAATAATCATACCAACCACAAAACCAACAACCACCCACACACCAACCCCACAACCACATAAATACCATATTACGACCCCCCCCCCCCCCCCGCCCCCCCCCCACCTCCCAGACAACCATCACCTCCCACTCACCCTACAAACCCCCATCTCCCACTCCTAACCACACACCACCCTTGGCCCAACCTTCCCACTCTAACCTTCCATAGATCTTCTATATACCGTCCCCCACCCAAACTACCTCATATTTTTCCCCCCTCTCTTTTTTCCGTGATATTTTGTGAGCAAGATTGATCGCGCGCTTCTTCCCCATAGCGTCGTCCCTTATTAGATGCAGATACTTAGTCTCTATCCTTCTAGTCATAGCCACTGTAAATTTTAGCTCTCATAGTACCTCTCTCACTTCACTCTCTCTCACACTTCTCACATTTATATCTTATAATCTTTCTTATTATACATATTACTTATTTAATAATTTATGATAATTTTTTTTTTTTAACACAACCCATTACTACTTAGATCTTTATATATAGAATGTATCTGCTACATTTTTAAAAAATGTGCATTTAGAGTACAGTCATAAACGGACTGCGCTGCTCGTGTATTGTCATGTGATTTGCGCGGCTGCCTTAACATATCATTTGCGTTTTATTGCCTCACTATTGTGTATAGTTGATTATCTATAAGTAATACTATATTTTATAATTTATCTATAAAAATTGGAATGTGGTGGTGAGTGTGTTTTATAAAGTTATATTTCTATGTATAAAAGACTAGTGTTGTTATGATATTTTAGTGTATTGTGTGATACAATTTCCATCGTATAGAGATATAGACTTTCCTCACATTCTCTCTATATAATCTTCGTCAGCGCGCTCCTGTTCGATTTAACCCTTAACAGTGTATTAATAAATTATAGTAGATGTGTGTATTTATTAAGGTGTGTCGTTTAATCCTTTTGTATATAAGTTTGTGCTCACTCGAATGCTGCGTCCTATTGCGCTTTATGCTCCACTCCCATTCTTTCTTTTGTGTTGTTCTTAATTAGAGATTATATCTTTGTTTTATTGACTCCCTACCTCCCCTCTCATGCAGGATATAAGTTATTATATTTATTATCATCTACCCCTTCAATCCACTCGCGCTTATCTACATGTATAGATATGTCTCCATCCTCTCCAATTAGAGTTAGGGTTGATCAACTGCTCATGAGTATGTATGGTCCGGTTATGTGTTCGTGGTTTACATCGGGTGTTTGTGATGCGCTCGCTTGGGATCTAGAGTGTGGTTGGCTTAGGAAGTTTTTGCATCTTGGGTCATTAGGGATTCATGTCCACCCTATCTCACCGTACTAGGCTAGGTGTTTCGTTTGATGTCTAGTAGATCTAATGCGCGCACAGCATTTATTTTGTTATAGGTAGTTGTGGGTGCTTTGAGGGAAATTTGGGTGTTGGTTATACGTCGCTATCATCTAGCTGGTTGGCAGGTGTTGCGGTACAAGTGTGTATACTCACGTGTTGTATATTTTTAGCTCTGTGTGGATATTTGTATGTTTGTAGGTCCGCACTCACGTGTTGGGTGCTTTATAGATATATAGATAGATAGATTTTGATTTATTGGTGTCTGTTAGTATTAAAACACGGTTTAGAGAGATTCCATTCTACCTTAAAACTTGAGATTCTTTCCTTACCGATATGTTGGTTTTGTGTGAGGCACGCGGGCTCTGCTGAAAGATGGCGACCGCACTCTCACCCGGCGCTCGTTCTGTGTGTGTGTGTGTGTGTGTGTAACTGTATCGTTGATATTTGAGATTAATAGAGTGCTATCCCACCTTCCTCCGACCTCCTAACAGACACTTAGGTCTGGTGTTCCATCGCACTCTTCACACTCGCATCGCACTCGCACATGTAGTTATCAGGCGAGCGCGGGGTTGGTTGCTTAGGGGTGTAGTTTGGCACCCCCACCCCTGCGTGTTACTATTTTTATACTTTAACTACATCCCCCATCCCCCCCGTCCAAACCCAGTCCCCCCACTACCACCAAAATATATTGGGCCCCCGCACAAATACTGTTGTTCTGCACGCATGTGAACGTTTCTAGGCATGGGCGCTCACACCGCACGCGCGTAGAAGGAATGGTGGCGGTTGGGGGCGTGTGAAGAGCATAGAGAGAGAGAGAGAGTGATGGTGATGAGTGAGTAGCTCATAGCAGATGAGATATACTATAGAGATCGACGACGCTTTCGCTGTCGGGTGGTGGGTTCGCAGCGTGAAGGGTTTGAGAGTGTGGGTGGTGGGAGAGGTCACTTGGGAGCAGTATCCTTACCAATCTGTCAACTCCCAGATGGCTCCGAGAAAGCTGTTATGCACGTCTCCCGCACCCTGACGCCTGCGGAGAAGAACTATGGTCAGATCGAGAAGGAAGCCCTTGCCATTGTCTTTGCCGTCACCAAGTTCCACAAGATGCTGTATGGCCGACGGTTCACGCTACTGACCGATCACAAGCCCCTACTTTCAATCTTCGGTTCAAAGAAGGGCATTCCGGCATACTCGGCTAGTCGACTTCAGCGTTGGGCGGTCATTCTCCTTGGTTACGACTTCGAAATCCGCTACTGCCGTACTCAGGATTTTGGTCAAGCCGACGGTCTCTCCCGCCTCATTTCCAAACATGCCGCAGTAGAAGACACAGTGATTGCCGCTGTAACTGTCGAGGACGACGTTCGTTATCAACTATCGAACGCTATCCGAAGTCTCCCTATCACTGCCGCTGACATACGTCGTGCAACTGCTCAAGACCCTGTCTTGCAGAAAGCCGTCACTTACGTTCAGACGTGCTGGCCAAACACTACCTTGTCTGGTGAACTCAAACAACTGCATCAACGCCGCGACTCCCTTTCCGTGGTCGATTCCTGTCTCATGACTGCAGATCGAGTTGTCGTTCCTTCATGTCTCCGGCAAGCTGTACTCCGCCAGCTCCATTCTGCTCACCCCGGTATGAACAGAATGAAGGCAGTTGCCCGCAGTTATGTGTATTGGCCTGGCATTGATAACGACATTCAAGATTTGGTCCGCCGCTGCTCACGATGTCAACAAGCATCCAAGATGCCACCACACCAATCACCAGTTCCTTGGCAGCCGCCAGCAAAACCGTGGTCTCGAGTGCACATCGATTATGCTGGTCCCATCGATGGCATTTCCTATCTGGTCGTGGTCGACGCCTATTCCAAATGGCCAGAAGTGGTCGCCGTCAACCCGCCAACCGCATCCGCCACTCTGACTTGTCTCCAACGTATCTTCAGTCAACATGGCCTTCCCGAGGTCTTGGTGTCCGACAATGGTACCCAGTTCACGTCTTCTATCTTCGAAGACTTTTGCCGCCGACACTGCATCGAACACCTCCGCTCACCGCCTTACCATCCCCAATCCAATGGTCAAGCGGAGCGATTTGTCGACACATTCAAGAGGGCGCTTTTGAAATCTCGCGGGGAGGGGACCGTGGATGAGTGTCTTCAAGCCTTCCTGCTCTCTTACCGGTCCACACCGAACCCAGCTACGCCAGGATGCCAGTCACCAGCTGAAGCATTGATGGGCCGCAAGCTACGCACCACAAACGATGCACTCATTCCGACTGAGAAGCCACCTACTCAATCTGGTGCCTACAGCAAGCATAAAGAATTCGCCGTCGGAGCCCCAGTCTACGCTCGCGATTACCGAGCAGGTCATCCTCGCTGGATCAAAGCAACAGTGACGGCCAGGCGAGGTGACATGCTTCATGATGTCTCCGTAGGTGATGACACCTGGGTTCGCCATCGCAATCAACTTCGTCCGCGCCACGAAGAAACCTCCACGCCAGCCAGCTATCCCGCGCGCCTGCCGCTGCACATCCTGCTGGATACCTTCGGAATGGCTCCACAACGGGAGACCACGGTCGAAGCCGCTCAATCGCCGCCGCGTCTCGAAAACCCACCTTGCCGACGAACAGAAAGAATCCGGAGGTCACCGAAATCCCTCCAGGTCAATCCTCGCCAGAAGCGGTACGCTCTCTCTTCAAAGGGAGGTGTTGCGGGCCCGTCAATAATCCCCGCAAAAACACGCCAGAAACCCCGACAGAATGGCTGTGGGAAGCGGGGTCCAATTCCTCCCCACAACGCAGCAGAGCTCAGCCACTCCGAGACGCGGCCCAAACTGCGCACCTTCTGACAATGGTCATTTACAAACTACCCCCTCTTCGTGGTGACAGTTTTCCTTAACTTAATAACCCATAGCACTGTCTGTGATCGCCCTTTGTCGGTCGTAAAAGAGCCTACAGAGGACCACTTGCCTTTTCTTTCTCTTCGCCTCAGTTGGGAGTCGGTCGGGTCACGTAATTGCGTGTGAGTCGTTAGCTGGCCAGCCTTCGCGTCTAAGTCATTAGCGCGCGTCTATCGTACCCCCCTCTCGTGTGCGCCCGTTCCGAGGGGTCAGCGTCTATCCGAACACTTGCGGCTAGGATCGGTCACACGCTCGCTCAATTTTCCGTCTCACCGGCTAAGCTAGCGTCGTCAGGTCAGCGCAACTCCGTTCGATTGGCCAGCGTTACAAGTCGTCATCGTAGGCGTGCTCCAACCGGGCCAGCGACAATTTTATCAGGCAATTACGCAATCCATATCGAGAGGCGGCGTTCCCACAATTATAACAGAGTTCCTGGAAGCGTGGTTCTCAACAACAGACTCGATCAGCATGCATATCGAGAATGACCCAGTTTACAAACCCCACCGACGGAGAGAACTTAGAGAAATTATAGACGTCACTTGAATAAGAACAAACTGAGCGACAACCTCCACCACGGGGAAAAGGGTAGAGATCACGCGACACAGATCGAAGCCGTCACTTACGAAAAGTCACCTACACGCCGATCACGGATCGACAATTCAATCAGGGAGATTACACTCCGTATCTCGGCGCACTGATGATGCCGCCTCGTATGGCGGTGAAAGGTTTACAAACAAATTTCCCAGCTCGGCGAACAAATGAGCAACTGTACTATCAACCGGAGCTACCATTTTTCGGAAACATTTTAAATAATCACGGGCGTTCAACGCTCCGCACTGCTCGCCTTGGGGAGGATTACGCTTGCAGACAA